CACTTCATTTTACTCACATTCCTAACTTTTCCTCATACTTACAGACTTGCAAAGGCCATCACGGCCTATACCCCATTAAATGGCAATTATTTTTAAACATTTTGGTTGGCTAATAACATCTCAATGACATGTCATGCCACTTGCAAAGCAAGTACCGAGTAAGCCTTAATTTCTCACTCTATTTTGTTAGTGAAAGGAACCATGGTAGAAGATTGCCTTCCATGTACTAGGCTGATCTCATTCATTCCACCATCTTTAAGCAAACGTTTGAGAAGGAATAGCCTGAAATCAATTTTTTTTTTCTTTGGCAAATCAGATTAGGTACAAGTTTAGGCATCCACAGAAACCCACAAGTTGATGTGAATCTATCTCAATTTTGCCTGTGTATGGAGAATAATTTCCTAATTGGATCAAGTAGGCACCTTTCCTTAGGCAATCGGCTTATGCCAGATGGTGTGGTAGATCAAAATCATCCACGATGTGGACCTTTGGATTGGGCATGTGTTACAATCTTCTAGTCCTAACCCTATGATCCACCTTGCATTTTCTTTTTTTAAAAGGCCCTAGGCAATATGTTAAGAGGAATTATTCATTAATGTGTTTGGTTAAAACATCAAGATTTACAATGTTACTAAAAAAAACAAGGGGTGGAATGCAAGGTTTTAAAAATCAACTTGGAACAATAACTATTCTAGACACTAGTTTCTAGGTTGATGGTTCGACTATTTGGTTTGAATTGGTGGTCCATTCTAGAGAAAAGGAGAATGGCCACCAAGAAAATCTTCGATCTTTGATACCGTATGTTAGATTTGAGGGTTTAATCTTGCGAGCATGGATGTATCAGCTTCTTCTTCTTCTTTAGCCTCTTCTTCTTCTGTGTATGACATCATTCTCACCAGAGACTTGCTCGATACTCTGACAGCCAAATAAAAACTCGAGTCGTTATTAACTAATGTCCACAAACAAGGTTGTTCCAGTCTGAAATAGAGGCAACTAGATAGGGCATTGTGTTGCAGCGGCAGTAATGATGAGAAAGAGTGAGAGAGGTTGAGATAAAGGTTCGGTTGGAAGAAAGTGCAATTGAGTAAGTGAGGTTTTGTTCACTGTCGTGGGAAAAGAACAAAAAGGTGGGGTTTCTGAGAGAGAGAGAGAGAGAGATTTAAATTAGGGGTTTTTATGGTTAAGTCCACCCCTAGGTGGAACTAGGATTTTTTAGGGGTGGACTGAACCCTGCCCGTGGATTGATGCCAAATTCACGTTTTTGGCATCAATCGAAGTAGTTGAAGAGAGATGTGATTGCAATCCTGGTGAAGCTGTTTTGTCTTTTTCATGTTTCCATGTATCTCAATTCTCCCTACTAATGGAAATTGACCATCAGAGTTTTGGAGTGTGGTGCCACGTGTTTATAGCTTAGAGTTAGGTGAATTTAAAGTTGAACTTTTAATCTTGTTGATTTTCTCTGTTCTTTGTACATATAATTCTTTTTGTTTTTTGTAAATGTTTTCTTTTACAATCCGAAATAGAATTGTTTGCTGACCTGGGTAGTTTATCAAAAGCCTCCTCCATGGTTGAAAGATTGAAATTTGGAGACAAATCGAAGTTGGAGTAGCCCAAGGAAAGGAACAGAGAAAAAGAAAGGTGTTGCAACTCCTCTATTCTCGTTGTAGAAGACGATGAACATAGGCCTTATGGCGGGACAGGAAGATAGAAGGGAAGAGGAAAGGAAAATTTTTTCATCAGCTAGGTTTTATTTTGAAAATTTGAAGAATAGTGGAGGGAAAATTCAACATTTTATTTCTTTCCGTTAGCACTTATCAATTATGTCAATTGTCAGAAACAGTAGGAGTACTTTAAGACAATATGTAAATAGTAAGGGTAGAGTTAGTCAATTAACTAAATCATAAGGGTAGTTTAAGAAATTTGCCATTAAATTATTTATTTAAGTCTCGTTTTCTTTTCAGTAAGTTACTTAACCGAGTAAATGCATGCAGTTACCTAGTTAAGTTTTTCTTAGGAAACACTTACAAAGGTAAGTGTATTTATCCATGTTCTTTTATTTCCCAAGTAAAAAAAGAAAATGTCCATTTTAGCCATAAAAGTCCATTATTAAATGAGGCATTTTTGTCCCGCTCAAGTGTTAGAATCTTTCCCCCTAGTTGGGAAAGTTATTTACCTACCTAGGAGAGGTAAGTAATACCTAAGAAAATAAATTTTTCTTGGTCCCCACATCAATCTGAAAAAAAAGAACATGAGATTCTTGCTCAATGGGAACCAAAATCCCATTGACCAACTTTCCCCTCTCTCAAAATCCAAAAAAAGAACGCCCCCTTAGGCTATGTTTGGTTTAAAGGAAAATGTAGGGAAAGATAGGGGAACCTATATAAGGTTTGTAAAGGTTTTTCTACCGTTCTCTTCATTTCCTTGCATTTTCCTTCAAACCAAACATAGCCTTAGTGAAAAATCCAGAGAGCCCATATCAAATTGGATGGACTCAGTTTGAAGAATAGTTAAAATTTCAATGGGTCCATCTAAAAGCCTAGGTCTAATGTAGTGTAAATTCTTTAATTCGGATACCTGACTTGCACCCCCACTAAGGCTGCATTTGGCATTGCTTACTTTAAGGACTTATCTCGTTTTGATTGTTAAAATGCCATATCAACACTGAATTTTTAACAGCAAAAAGGAGATGAATCCTTAAAATAAGAAATGCCAAATGCAGCATAAACGAGCATCAGTACTCGAAGAATTTAAACTGTACTTTTTATTTAATCTAGGAAATGGGACTCAATTTTATTTAACGCATAATTACCTAATTCACTTGCAGGGAATATATGACAATATGACTTCAACTTGGTACGTTATATAAGTAGCTGGCAAATCAGTTCATGATAATTAGGAAAAATAACCAATGTGCCAAAGGACCATATTAAACACAATAGTTCTAAGTTAGATATGAAACCACACCATGCCAACTAAATACGTAAATCTTGTTACTTTTAGGAGGTACTGATCTATGCATAAGGTGATATATGGATTTGTTTTCTAAAACAAATACAACTGCCACATCATTATTTTTGCTGTTGTGGAATTACTTTTTTGTTTTAGAAAACAACACCATACACAACGGCAAACACTCCTTTAACGGGATAACTTAGAGGACTAGAATTAGATAGGTGTATCTATAAATTGATTAGCATCAGAATCCTGTTTTCTAAGGTGAAGTATGAATTGCAAACCCGAACTTGAACTCAAATGTACTAAGTACTAACCGATTAAATATAGCTATGGTGTAACATCTTCAAAGCCTTTATGTTGGATTTATTTATATATTTTTTAAATTTAGTCTAAGAAACTAAAATTAGATTTGATTTGTTATTGATGGATATGACCCAACTTTCCAACTTGAATCAGAAGACAGCACAGTTTTGGGAAATTACCCCTTCTTTTTAAATTTGAAGGAGATGGAAGCCCTCTCGCTTAAGAATAAAAATAAAAGAAATATCAAGATAAGAGGTAGGGGCTTTCAGAAAAATACAAGGGGCTAGGTTTTGGGGTGGGGAAAAGAATAGGAGAAACAGGAGAGAATTTTGAAGAATTAAAAGAGTTTTAGGAATTGGTGGTTGAAAGTTCTACTTCATCGATCCATTTTGAAAGCTCTGAAAACGATTCATACATGAATCAGATGCAACATCCAAACCATCAAGCCTCTTTTTACTTCACCATCTTTTCAGAATAGTTTTTTGGGAAAAATCTTTGAGGACTATTTGGGACCATTTGATTGAATTGGTTGCCTTGTACATTTGGCATGTCGGTGTTCACTCAAGAGATTATTCAATACTGTATTTCAAAAATGATAAAATAAATAAGAAATAAAAGAAAAACAAAGAATACTTTTCTCTTGCCAAATTCCCTCGCAGGCTCGAGATCTAATCATTTAAGCTTTTCATCCCTTTTCCTTCAAATCAAGCATAGCCAGACAGCCTTAAGAAAATCTTTTTGTATTAGGCTCATTGGAACTCAGATACCGAACCCGCTCATAATTTGATACTCATGACATGGGTAACTAGAATTGGCAATCGGGTCAGCCCAAGGCAATTTCGGGTCAGATGAGGTTGGGTCAACAAAAATATTCGGGTTGGTTCAACCATCCGAGTCAGTTGGTCTTTGACCAAGCCAACGTTTTTTTTTTTTTTTTTTTTTATAAAAAATACGGGCTAGCTGTGAAGTTTGAATAGACAACCATGGGGCAACAATGGTTTATAAATGAATTCTTTTCGAGTCGGGCCGGGTTGAGTCTGTCTTCTAGTTTGGGTTGCTAGATAGGGGATCTTGACCCGGTTCATGGCCATTGCTTATCTAGGTTTTAATTATCGTAGGAGTGTTGATTTGGTGAAGACGGTGAACTATTTTTCCATAAAAGCCAATACATACAGCACAATGTAGCAAATGTGAAAAAGATGAAGTTAAATAAAAATGTGGAAGCCCATCAGTAGAAGCAAACTGGTTCGTGTGTTCTAACTTGTATTGCAAGGGATAGTGAGGGCAAAATTAGGCTGTCTGGGAGGCCCATAACCTGGTGTTTTAACTTTGAAGTTTTTTTTTTTTTTCTTTATTGTAATTGAAGGAAACTATAAACCAGTCATTGATTGCCTAACGAAGAAGACAAAGAGAAATTAAGCCCCCATAGATATTGAAGATCATTATTGAAGAGTGCGCAACTGTGAGCCAATTTTTTGATTGTGGTATTTCATTTCTAAGCCTAGTCATTCAGCCGTGAGCTTTTGCGTCCTAGAAAACAACAAAAATAAAGAAAACGAATAGCCGTTGGTGGGTGGTGGCGAATGGCGATTGGCGATTGGCGTCTTATCATAAATATTCTTTCTTTCATTTCTGAATAAGAAACAGAAAATTTAAATTACTATATATATAAGGAAACCAGTACAAAGGAACACACAATAGCCTTCAAGAGAGGCTATGATTATGAAGATCAGACGAGCGAATATTCAAGGCAAATAGAAACAGAAGAACCATAAATATTCATGGACCTAATAAATCTTGCTACAGAACAGGTGTAATGCTCTCTGCGGCATTATTATTTCATTAAACATTGATCTTCCGATCGATCTTATTAAACTGGATGACACCACCAATTCTATCCATCCTCCCGAGTGAAAGCGACGATGCTTCTTCATGGAGTCCGAGCTTCAGTTTCGATGGGAGAAGCACAACATTCGCAACATTCGCCGGGTGGAGCAGGGGTGCAACATACACACGCTGGGCAAATGATTTCCTCTTGTAATAATGTTCGTCCAAAGAGCTCTGCTTTTTGTCAAATCAGTAGGTGGACGTGGAATTATCAATAATATGATCAAAATCTCAGCAACCAACAACGAAATTAAACAATAATGGAGTTTTACAGTTTCGCTTGCTGCTTACCATTATTAGTGAAGCGAGCTGCCTCAGTTGGCAACACCGGAGAGAGTACCAGAGCCAAGATGAGAAGAGTGGCCATCATCGATATGCCGGACTTAGCTGCCATTTCTTCACGAGACAAGGATCAAACTAGGATGTATGGAATGCAAGGGAGAGATGGGGTGAAAAGCCTATTTATAGTTGTTGTTCGTCCGTTTGCGTTTCGATATATATGTTCTGAGTGCCGCTTTTTTTGAATAGGAATTTGATTGTTTGGTTTTCGTTGCATTGCTGGTTCTTTCAGAATTCGGATGCCATTCATTTTGTATTTGTCAACGTTCAACAGTCAAAGCTTCAGGCTTTCTCCTTTACCACACCTAGCTCATTGGGAAGCTAGCTAGCAATTAAGTTGATAAGATTGTTGCTCTTTCCCAACCTTCTCTAATCTATTTGCATGCATGCATGGTGTATTTTGAGGTTTCTATCAAACTCCGAAGCATTTATTACGAAGATATATAAAAGATCATTTTTGTTGCCACTGCAGATTCAAAATTTCTATTCCCTACATTTTCTTTGAAACCAAACACAGCCTAAGTGATCTTAATTGGCTTTCTTAATTAGCTTATTTCCAGTTTTAATTGTTCTTTCTTTTTGAATTAAAACAAAATCAATCAATGTAGGGGCAAGCAATGAGCAAATTCTAGAACCCTATCATGAACAAAGCAGGTTCATGTAAGAAGGTGAACTATGAATTGCAAATGCGAGCTTAAAGTGTACCAACCAACCAAGTAACTATGATGTAACATCTTGAAAGCCTTTATATGTGTTGGATTTTTTTAATAATAGTTTAATCTAAGAAACTTATATTAGATTTGATTAATTATTATTAATATTGAATATGAGCTTTCTTTCCTGCTATTTGAACACAATTTGGGAAAAAAATTCAATAAGAGAGGTTGGGGCCTTGAGAACGAAAAATGGAGTAGAAAAAGTAGGAGTTTGGGAATTGGAAGCAAGTTTTGAGAGAATGGCCTGTAGTGATTGGTGTTTGCTGAAAAAAGGGAATACATAACATAGTCATACCTTCATACCTAATCTCACGTGTGGATTAAATTTTACAATATAATCTTCTCAGAAAAGTGGTACTAATTTATAGATTATTATTAAACCATATATAATTGTCTCCATGATGCTGTAATAATATAGCAAGGCCTGTAAATGGGTCACCGGTTATATTGGTTTTGGTATTGTGATTTTGTGCCACTTCTGGCTCTTCTGAATAGATTAAGACCTGAACCAATTATTGTATTAATAATATATAAATGTTTTCTAATAATTTTTATTATATTTTATGTCTAAAGAACAAATTTAATAGACAATATATAAGATAATTTGGTTAAAAAAATACTTGATTTTATTACTGTCACTTTTATTAAGGTTATATTATGAAAAATAAATTAGTTTTTATAATTATAGATGTTTTTCTAATGGGTCAGACCTGCTTATCCCAATTAATAATCAGTTCGAAATTGTACACTCTGTCCTGAACCAGATCCAATCCATATGAGGAAACACCTTTTTGTAAAAGGACAAAAAAAAAAAAAAAATCATACAGACACTTTGAATGCGATATATACATTGCAAACATGTGGGAAGTGGGAACGCCTACATTGACATCCAAGTTGAACAATTTCGATAGTTCAAACACTGGTTGAATTGAACAAGGGTTCAGTATTCAGCATATTGGTTTAAGATTGACATATTTAAAACACTGGTAGAGGATTGGAAGATGTTTTGTTGGCAAAAGAACTCAATTCTTCCAAGGCTCCCTGGTGGTTAGATAATAAATTTGCTATGACCTGGAAGAGCCTCCGGACAACATCGATTGGATTGGATTTGGTCTTTGAGAGTTCAACACTCCAAAAAGACGAGCAAAGTTGTGCTTGGTCAGCTTAGATCAGCTCCATCTCACCAAACACCCATCTCATGGGCATACACTTCATCCCACGTACGGTTTTTCTCTTTAGTCTTTCCATCTAGCATCGATCTACAGACAAATTTGAAGATGGGCCCAAGCTTGCTGCCCGATAAGATTTCATGCATTCTCATTTGACAACATTCAATACAAGAACGTGATGATCAAACATTCAAACCTCTTAGGTGGGACCAATTTACTGCAAACCCTCCTTTTTGTTACTGAGATGACAACAAATCAATATTTGCAGGAGGCTGAAAAGAGGATTCTTCCAATTTCAATATATGTTCCATTTATAGAAAAAACTCCGTGCAAACAGCATCTAACCTCACATGTCATGCATATTAATCCGTGGGAGATGTTTCCAAGCTAGATGTCTACACCTATGCCTTCAATGTGTAAGCAAAGTTTTTTTTTTTTATCAAGAATTCCCATCACCCCTGAAGGGGGTGAAAAACATCAAATCTATTTTTACTACATGATGTTCATTTGTAGTACAATTTTTTATGGTAAAATCTTGAGGACTGTGTGCATCCAATTGATTGAAGGGTTCAGTACCATAGGGTTTGTGGCAAAAATAAAGTACCCCTCTAATTTAATAAATGAACTAGCGGAGGGGTCCATGCTTCCTAGGGGCTGGAATGAAATTGAATATTGTTATTTGCTATATTAAAAAAAAAACAAATGGTTTTTTAATAAGAGACTTGTTATTATAAGTATTCAAGTCTTGAAATTCATATAAAGACTTAAAAGAAATCATTATGTGCTCGTTTTTTAAATATTATTTCAACAAAGCATCTCATATAAAAGAATACAATCATATAGTGATAGTTCTGAGTTCTAGTTCATATCTATCATTTGTTTTACATCGAGAACTCCCAATTGACCCAGACAGTAGCATTGTTCGGCTCAAGAATAGTCCAAGAAACCGGTACTGTTTTACTCCAAACCCGGTCCTTGGCAAAAAATCGTTGAATCAGTCAACGACCCATTGACCTGAACAATCAAACCATCGACCCGTTGACCCGTTCAATGGTTTTTGTCAATTTTTTTTTTATTTTTAATTTATTTTTAATTTTTTGTTGTCAGAATAGGCCATCCATTCGAATTGGACGATTGAACCATCGACCTAGAAACCGGTGGCTAGAACAGTTCCATTTCTAGGTCATTTTTTCTAGATGTCAATAATTAGACGAAATAACTTTGTAATCATAGTCATGGGAATGGTGGACATTGCAAGGGATTCCAAAACCTTGAAAGATAAAACCAAAGTGACCTTAAACATAGAAAAAAAAATTGGTGGTAAATCCACCAAACTAGAAAAGCCAAGAAAAAAAAGCAAAAAATCGAGTCCAAAGTTTCGCTTTGAGACGAAGTTAAACATACATGCAATCAAAGAAAGAGGCAAAGCATATAATCTTGTAAGAAAAAAAAATCAACAAGAAAACCCAGAGAAAAAACAAAAGGGAATAAATAAAATGGTGGTAAACCTTAGACCGTACACGCTCGAATAAAGCCAACAGTAGAAGAAATCTTTGAATAATGAAAATCCAAAATCATACAAAACCATGGTTTTTGAACTGCCGTTGATCTAGGCAAACAGACATTTTGGCCCAAGAACTGTCCAGGCAACCAGTTCCGTTTTACCCCAATCTCGGTCCCTAGCCAAAAACTGTTGAATCGATCAACAACCCATTGACCCGGGTGGTCAATTGTCGACTCGTTGACCCGTTCAATGGTTTTGATAGTTTTTTTTTTTATTTTTTAATCATGAACTGTCTAGGAAATTGGTTACGTTTTATCCCAATCCCGGTCCCTGGCCAAAAACCATTGAATCGGTCAACGACCCATTGACCCAAGTGGTCGAACTGTCGACCCATTGACCAATTCAATGGTTTTTGGCTGTTAGGATGGTTAAACTACCATTTTTTTTAATTGGGAAACATATAGGCAACCGGTTCCGTTTTACCTCAATCCCAGTCCCTAGCTAAAAAACCGTTGAATCGATCAGCGACCCACTGACCCTAGTGGTCAAATCGTCGACCCGTTAACCCGTTCAATGGTTTTTGGCTGTGTTTTTTTTTTTTTTTGTTAGAAAGGGGCCTTCCATTCAAATTGGATGGTCGAACCGTTGACCCAAAAACCGGTGGCTAGAATGGTTCCATTTTCGGGTTGTATGAGTCATGCACTCGAATGACATAACACGTATGATACTGCTTAATGGACCTCACACACTCAAAATTTTCCATATAATTTTTGTTGTCAGGACGGGTTATCCGTTCTAACCAAACAGTTGAATCAGTCAACTGGTTCTATTTTACCCCAAACCTGGTCCCTAACAAAAAATCGTTGAATCAATCAATAACCCATTGACCCAGGCTATCGACCCGTCGACCCGTTCAATGGTTTTGGCCATTTTTTATTTTTAATTATTTTTAATTTTTGTTGTTAGAATGGGCCATCCATTCTAGAAATCGATGGCTAGAATGGTTCCGCTTATGGGTCATTTTTTCTAGATGCCAATAATTATACGAAATAACTTTGTAGCCGTAGTCATGTGAATGGTGGATTTTGCAAGGGATTTCAAAACCTTGAAAGATAACTCCAAAGTGACCTTAAACACGAAAAAAAATGGCGGTAAATCCATCAAACTAGAAAAACCAAGGAAAAAAAACAAAAAAAATTGAGTCCAAAGTTTTGCTTTGAGACGGAGCTAAACATACATGCAATCAAAGAAAGAGACAAAGCAAATCGTCTTGTAAGGAAAAAAAAAAGATTGCACAAGAAAACCCAAAGAAAAAGCAAAAGGGAAGAAATAAAATGGTGGTGTTTTGGAGGATCTTGAAGAAGAAGACCAAATTAAAAAGGAAAAAGAAAACAAACAAACAAAAGCAAAAGATGAATAAAAGGAACATACTGCACACACTCGAATAAAGCCAACAATAGAAGAAACCTTTGAATAGTGAAAATCCAAAAGCATAAAAAATCACGGTTTTCGAACTGTCGTTGACCCGAACGGACGGGCATTTCAGCCTAGGAACCATCCAGGCAATCGGTTTCGTTTTACCCCAATCCTAGTCCTTGGACAGAAACCGTTGAATCGACCAATGACCCATTGACCCAGGCCTGCTGCAGTGTCATGCTGCATTTGAAAGGAAAGAAATCAGAGGAAATCTCATAATTGAAGTTGTGGATGAATTA